TCCCTTGGGAATGAAAACCCTCGAAGCAATAAACTAGGTGAAGTAGAACTTCATCATACAGAATGTGAAAAAGACTTGGGAGTCATGGTAAGCAGAAATCTAAAGCCAAGACAGCAAGTGCCTAATTGTGCACAACAAGGCTAACAGATTACTAGGATTTACAAAAGTATTGGGAAGGGGGGTGGAGTGGCATTGTATATCTGAGATCGCTTGAACTGTTGCATAAAAACTGGGTATTAAGTCTGAAGTAACACATACAGAGTCTGTTATGATAGAATTTTCAGAGGGGCATGAAAAATTGATTTTAGGAGTGATATACCATCCTCCAAACTTAGATAGAGACCAAGGGAGACTACTATGGGAGGAAATTGTTAAGGCCACAAGGCACGATAACGTAGTAATTCTAGGAGACTTTAACTTTGGTCATATGTGATGTGTACTTAGCTCAGTGGTGACGTGTACTTATCTAGCGGTGATGTGTACTTAGCTCAGTGGCGACGTGTACTTAGCTCAGTGGTGACGTGTACTTAGGTCAGTGGTGACGTGTACTTAGCTCAGTGGTGACATGTACTTAGCTCAGTGGTGACATGCACTTAGCTCAGTGGTGACATGTACTTAGCCCAGTGGTGAGGTGTACTTATCTCAGTGGTGAGGTGTACTTAGCTCAGTGGTGACATGTACTTAGCTCTGTGAAGACTTGTTTGTGTGCTGTCTGTGAATCTGAACCAGGATGCCCTCTCTTGAGCAACTCTACCAGCAGCTAAAAGAGGACCTTAGGGTTGCTAAGCTGGAGATAAGGCGATTAATGGAGGAGAACAAGAGGATTCGTAATCCTGTTGTGAGTCCTCAGGTTAAGAGAGGAACCTGGTCAGTGGCTGCACAACTGCTGAGGATCAAAAAGACTGTTGGAGAGGCAGAAACAATGAAGAACCAGAAGATTTCTGTGGAAACCTCCAATCCATTTGCAGTGCTACCTGACGAATGTGGATTGTCTACTGGGAATGTCACAATGAGCACCAAGGAAGCATTGACAGACGTGAGTGAAACATCCCCAGAAACCCCAACGAAGACCATCGAGAACGTCACGACGAATTCCACAAGTGGAGGTAAGAACATTGTTTTAGTTGGAAACAGTCAGGTTAAGTTTATGGATAGGGTGTTTTGTCTTGGGGACAGGAAGAGGCAGAGGGTATGTTTTCCTGGGGCTGGGACGGGAGATATTGTTAGCTGTCTGGACAACATCATGAAAGGTAATGGGAGCAATCCTATTATCTGCCTCAGTGCAGGAGGCAACGGTGTTGGCAGACTTAGGAGTGAGGACCTGATTAGCAGGTTCTCACTCCTACGTCTGCCAGCAATAGAAATAATTAGAAAGAAGGGTGGGAATCCTGTCATATGTGGTATTTTGCCAAGGAGAGGAGTTGGAAATGAATGGTTGTCCTAGGCAATTGGTGTCAATTGCTGGATGGACAAATACTGTAAGGAAAATGCGGTAACATTCATTGATAACTGGAACCTCTTCTATAGCAGAAATGACATGTATGCCAGGGATGGGGCACACTTATCTAGGTCTGGGGTGGGGGCACTGGCAACTTCAATGGAGGGAGCTGTTAGGACTTTAAACTAGGAATAGTTAGTGGTATGGATTCTGGCAAGAAAATAGTTAAGTCCCAGTGTAGTAATATTATGAGTTCTAGGGGAACTAGTAATAAGCAGAATGAGGTAGATATTGAAAAGCCAGTGGCACTAGGTGACAAGGACAGTATTAGGTTTAGTAGAAAAACAGAAATGAACAGGAAGGGTAAAGAGAAAGGAGGGTCTTTCAAAGTATATTATGCTAATAGCCGTAGTGCCAGGAATAAGATGGACGAGTTGAGATTAGTTGCTAGTGCAGGTAACATTGATGTATTTGCCATAACTGGGACGTGGTTTAATTAAAAAAGTGGGACATGCCTGCAGAATGTCACATTCAGGGTTTTAAATGGTTTCAAGTAGATAGAAGTATCGAGAAGGGGGGTGGGGTGGCATTGTATGTCAGAGATCGCTTGAACTGTTGCATAAAAATTGGTATTAAGTCTGAAGTAAAACATACAGAGTCTGTTTGGACAGAATTTTCAGAGCATGAAAAATTGATTTTAGGAGTGATATACCATCCCCCAAACTTAGATAGGGACCAAGGGGGACTACTATGGGAGGAAATTGTTAAGGCCACAAGGCACGATAACATAGCAATTCTAGGAGACTTTAACTTTAGTCACATTGATTGGAATTTCTTGACTGGGAATTTAGAATCTAACGACTTCTTATTAGTAGTTCAGGATTGTTTTTTGAGGCAGTTTCTGACAGAGCCTGTGAGGGGAAATAACCTGCTTGACTTGGTTCTGGCAAGCAAGGAAACCCTTGTTAATAATTTAGAAATTACAGAGGAACTCAACACAAGCAATCACAAATCAATTCATTACCTTTAGCATTGAATGGAAGTATGACAGTAGGGATAATTCAGTAATAGTCCCAGATTTTCACTTAGCAGATTACAATGGGCTTAGAGAACACTTCATCTGTAAACTGGGGTAACAAAGAGAGCTATCAGTATGACAGCTTTCTTAACACAATACATGCTGCCCAAAGAACATTTATCCCATATAAGGAAATTAGATCGAATAGAAATGACCCAAAATGGATGAATAATAGGCTCAAATATCTTTTTGGGCAGGAATTTTTAGACATATCAAAAGAGGCGAGGGTCATCTTATGAATCAGTACATTGACATTAAGAGGGACATTAAAAAGGGGATAAGAAAAGCTAAACGGGAGTACGAAATTAAAGTTGCTAGGGATTCGAAAACTAACCCAAAACAATTTTTCCAGGTGTATAGAACAAAAGTGAGGGATAAGATATGTCCCCTTAAAAATAATTTGCGGCATCTTACTGACAAAGAGAATGAAATGTGCTCCATTTTAAATAATTATTTTCTCTCAGTTTTTACGTAGGAAGACACTAACAATATCCCAGTAATTAATTTTTATAGCGGACGTGAAGAAGATAAATTATGTAACATCAGTCACTAGTGAAATGGTTATGAAACAAATAGACCGTCTAAAACAAAATAAATCACTGGTCCTGATGAGCTTTTTTTCAAGGGTTCTTAAGAAATGCAAAACAGAACTTTGTGAACCATTAACTCATATTTTTAATTTATCTCTTCAAACAGGTGTAGTGTCTGGTATGTGGAAGATGGCTAATGTAATTCCTATTTTTAAAGCAGGAGACAAGTCGTTACCTTCAAATTACCCCCCAATAAGCCTGACCTCAATTGTAGGCAAATTACTAGAGTCAGTAATAGCTGAGATAATGAGAAGCCATCTGGATAAGCATAATCTGATTAATGATACTTAGCATGGATTCACAACAGGCCGTTCTTGTCTAACTAATTTATTAGCTTTCTTCAGTAAAGCTTTTGAGGCTGTTGATCACGATAAAGAATTTGATATTGTTTACAGTATTTAGATTTTAGTAAGGCTTTTGATAGAGTACTGCACCAAAGACTGTTAAAGAAAGTGGCAGCTCACAGCATTGGGGGGAAAAGTGCTGTCGTGGATAGTCATGGCTCACAGACAGGAAGCAGTGTCTATAAATGGGGTTAAATCCGAGTGGGGATCCGTAACAAGTGGCGTTCCACAGGGATCAGTGTTAGGCCCGTTGCTGTTTATAATATATATCAATGATCTTGATGAGGGAATTACTAGTGTAATGAGCAAATTTGCTGATAACACAAAGTTAGGTAGGATAATTGATTCAAACGTAGATATCAGGGAACTTCAGGAGGATTTAGACAAACTCAATAACTGGTCAGAAAAGTGGCAGATGCAGTTCAATGTAGATAAATGCAAGGTTCTGAAGCTCGGGAGTGTCCACAACCTTAGCACTTATAAGTTAAATAATGTAGAACTTAGCCATACTGGGCCATACAGATTGTGAAAAGAACTTGGGGGTTATGATAAGCAGCAACCTTAAACCAAGACAGCAATGCCTAAGCATACATAATAAGGCAAACAGATTACTGGGATTTATATCAAGAAGTGTAAGCAACAGAAGTTCAGCAGTTATATTACAGCTTTATACATCATTAGTAAGGCCTCACCTAGATTAAGCAACTCAGTTCTGGTCTCCATATTACAGAATGGACATAAATTCGTTAGAAAACATTCAGCGTAGAATGACTAAATTAATACATAGCATTAGAAATCTTCCTTATGAAGAAAGATTGAAGACCCTTAAATTACATTCACTTGTTAGACGAAGAATGAGGGGAGACATGATCGAAGTGTATAAGTGGAAGATGGGTATTAATAAAGGGGATATAAATAAGGTCTTGAGGATACCTCTCTTAGAGAGAACCCGCAGTAATGGATTCAAATTAGACAAGTTTAGAGATTTAGAAAGGATATAGGAAAGTATTGGATTGGAAATAGGGTAGCTGATGAGTGGAACAGTCTACCTAGTTGGGTTATTAAGGCTAAAACCTTGGGTAGTTTCAAATTTAGGTTGGATAAATACATGAGTGAGAGGGGTTGGATTTGAGTGTGACTTGCATATGAGAGTGGATAGAGTTATCAGAGCTTATTTCTTGATTGGCATTGAAAATTGGGTTGGGCAATTGTTTTGTTAGTGGGATGGATCGTAAAGGACCTGCCTAGTGTGGGCAAACAGGCCAGATTTGAAGCCGCTAGAATTTTGGCACAGTATTACTGGACCGACACCCCTTTGGTGTCGGTCCTGTAATATTATGGGACCGACACCGAAGGGGTTAATATATGATAGTGTAAACATGCTATCAGGCTTTTATATGCATTTGAAGGTGAAAAAGGCTATGATTCACTGTTTAGCAATTTTTCACTTTACAGCAGTATCTCGGAATCTAACCTTCTGTATAAGCTGACCCCTCCTGTACAATAATTAACAAAAAATATATCAATACTTAGGAAAAAAAAAGTGCTAGTTCAGCTATATAATACTGTATTTACATATAAAAGACACTTATTCTAAAATATTTATTCTCGGAAATTTTACATTTTGTTCAACCCACTTAGCAGCAGACAACATAGCTGGATCTTTTCCCCACTGACCTATCAGCTGAAGTGATACTGGTAAGCCTTCAGTATTTAATGACACTGGTATGCTAACTGCTGGTACACCTGCCATGTTAGCTGCTTGAGTACAAATGTCTTGAGTTGCTGTTTGAGTACGGTTATCTAGGTTTTGGAATTCAGAGTATCTGCAACAAAAATATATGAGCAGCATTAGTAGACATCACAACATTCTTGTAATCTTCACAGCTCTAAATTGCAAAGAACATTTTTATTAAATGTCAAGTACAGTAAGGCCCCATTTTACAGTGTTTTGCTAATACAGACATTTCAAATTATGACAAAAATTCGTTATATGACTCCTGGTCTCTGCACGCCACTGTTTGTTTACATCCTCTGTGAGCTGTAATTATATTGTTTATTATGTCATATTAGATCAATTGTGATAGATAAATAAGCCGTAGAGTTGATATTTGAGTTATATTGAAGTGTACTGTAATGAGGAAAATTGACTCAGCATACAAACAAATCAGGATACGAACAAGGTCACGGAACGGATTAAGCTCGTAAGCCGAGGTTCCACTGTATAGGCAATGGGGTAGATGATGTATGGGGTAAATTTAAGAATATAGTGTTAGTGTGTTCAGCAGAAGTTTGTGGTTACAGGAAAATAGGTGGAATGATGATGTAAAGAGAGTAGTAAGAGAGAAAAGGTTAGCATATGAGAGGTTTTAACAAAGTAGAAGTGATGCAATGAGGGAGGAGCACATGGAGAGAAAAAGAGAGGTTAAGAAAGTGGTGAAGCAATGTAAAACGAGAGTAAATGAGAGAGTGGGTGAGATGTTATCAACAAATTTTGTTGAAAATAAGAAAAAGTTTTAGAATGAGATAAATAAGTTGAGAAAGCCTAGGGAACGAATGGATTTGTTAGTTAAAAATAGGAGAGGAGAGTTATTAATCAGAGAGTTAGAGGTATCGGGAATTGTTAAATGTTGATGAAGATAGGGAAGCTGTGTTTTCATGTATAGGGCAAGGAGAAATAACATCTTATAAGAGTGAGGAAGAACCAGTCGTGAGTGTGGGAAGTGCATGGGGCAGTGGGTAGAATGAATGAAAGGGATTAAAGCAGCTGGGATTGATGGGATAAAGATAGAAATGTTAAAAGCAGGTGGGAATATAGTTTTGGAGTGGTTAGTGCTTTTATTTAATAAATGTATGAAAGAGGGTAAGGTACCTAGATTGGAAGAGAGCATGCATAGTTCCTTTGTATAAAGGCTAAGGGGACAAAAGAGTGTAAAAATTATAGGGAAAGGAGTCTGCTGAGTACCTGGTAAATTGTGTGGTAGAGTTATTATTGAAAGAATTAAGAGTAAGATGGAGAGCAGGATAGCAGATGAACAGGGAGGCTTTAGGAAGAGTAGGGGGTGTGTAGACCAAGTGTTTGCAGTGAAACATATAGGTGCACAGTATTTAGATAAGGGTAAAGAGGTTTATGTAGCATTTATGGATTTGGAAAAGGCATATGATAGGGTGGATAGAGGGGCAATGTGGCAGATGTTGCAAATGTATGGAATAGGAGGTAGGTTACTGAAAGCAGTGTAGAGTCTTTATGAGGATAGTGAGGCTTAGGTTAGAGTATGTAGGCAAGAGAGAGATTATTTCCCAGTAAAAGAATGCCTTAGACAGGGATGTGTGATGTCACCATGATTGTTCAATATATTTATAGATGGAGTTTTTAAGAGAAGTGAGGGGTTGAAAGATAAAGAATCTAACACAAAGTGGGAGTTATCACAGTTGCTCTTTGCTGATGACACTTTGCTTTTGGGAGATTCTGAAGAGAAGTTGCAGAAGTTAGTTGATGAGTTTGGTAGGGTATGTAAAAGGAAAATAAAAGTGAATATAGGAAAGAGTAAGGTGATGTGGATGTTGTGAGGGTTCGTGGAGATGTGATGGTTGGAGTTAAACACACTTGTTGGATGGAAACACTTATATTAGCAGAGTGTGAGAAAGGGAGCCCAGCCTGGCCTGTCCTGTTGCCTGGTAAGTCTACGGTGAACTGAGAACAAGACCGGGAGCACAGCGCTCACAACGGCATCACGTGATGTCACACAAGCTAGTCACTGAGCCTAGCAATGGGTCATGTATGTAAAACATATGGATCGTACAAACTATGATACTCATACAAGCTATACAACACATGTAGGGGATCAGCAACTATGCTGACATGGATAACAAAAAAATTAGGTAATGGAAGATTGGATATCAGATTGGAGGGAGAGAGTATGGAGGAGGTGAATGTATTCAGATATTTGGGAGTGGACCTATCAGCAGATGGGTCTATGAAAGATGAGGTAAATCATAGAATTGATGAGGGGAAAAAGGTGAGTGGTGCACTGAGGAGTCTGTGGAGACAACGAGCTTTATCCATGAAAGCAAATAAGGGAATGTATGAGAGTATAGTTATACCAACTCTCTTGCATGGGCGTGAGGCATGGGTTGTGAATGTTGCAACAAGGAGAAGGCTGGAGGCAGTGGAGATGTCATGTCTGAGGGCAATGTGTGGTGTGAATATAATGCAGAGAATCCAATGTTTGGAGATTAGGAGGAGGTGTGGGATTACCAAAACTATTATCCAGAGGGCTAAGGAGGGGTTACTGAGATGGTTTGGACATATAGAGAGGATGAAATGAAATAAAATGACTTCGAGAGCGTATAAATCTGTAGTGGAGAGAAGGCGAGGTAGGGGGTGGCCTAGGAAAGGTTGGAGGGAGGGGGTAAAGGAGGTTTTGTGTGCAAGGGGCTTGGACTTCCAGCAAGCATGCATGAGCATGTTAGATAGGAGTAAATGGAAATAAATGGTTTTCAGAGCTTGACATGCTGTTGGATTATAAGCAAGGTAACATTTATGAAGGGATTCAGGGAAACAGGCAAGCCAGACTTGATTCCTAGAGAGGGGAAGTACAGCGCCAGCATTCTGAAGGAGGGGTGTTAATGTTGTAGGTAAGCATGCCTCTGGCAAGACAGAAATGGAGTGAATGATGATGAAAGTTTTTCTTTTTCGGGCCACCTTGCCTTGGTGGGAAACAGCCGATGTGTTAATAAAATAAAAAAATATTACGTGTGTGTGTGGTAGCCAGGTGGGCTACCATACTTACCACACCTGACTTTCAACAATAAATACTAGTCACCTCTCACCCTACATTAAGACTACAATTATTTTAAAGTAAGTACAGTGGAACCTCAGTACAATTTGGTATTCGAACGCTTTGTTCAGTAAACAAATTGCTCGGTAGTCGACCGTTTGCTCAGCACTCGACCAAAGAAACATGACCTGCCTAAACTTCACTGTAAACTACAGCCTCTCCTCAATGACATACTCATTTACTGATGACTCAGACTTACGATGGGTTCTCTGACCAGTATGCATACCTAAATAATGTATATTAAGAGCTGATTTCCTCTATTCTGTTTATTACAATATACAGTACACTACTGTATAAACATTTAAGAATATACAATAGGGCCCCACTGTTCGGCATTTCGCCTTACGGCGTTCCGCTAATACAGCAATCTCAAGTTATGACCAAAACTTTCTATATGGCAAATGGTTTTTCAAATACGGCACGGGCCACCCAATTTGTTTACATTCTCCATGAGCACATCTCTCTATTATGTAATAATAATCACTCTTGGGCACATTAAATGTCTAATTTTACGTCAATATAGATATTTTTCATTAAATCCGTCTATGATATTTTCTTCAAAATTATATAAGAAACATGTTACATAGCATATAAACATGCTGTTTATATGCTATGGAGGTGTGGTTGCCAGGTGGAGGGTAAACATTATGTAATATGTACTAAAAATAATCACTCTTGGCCACATTAAATGTCTTATTTTATGTTAATATACACAGTTTCATTAATATATCTATTATACATGTATTTTCTTCAAAATTATATAAGAAACACGTTACATAACATATAAACATTTTATGTTTATATACTATGGAGGTGTGGTAGCCGGGCAGAGGGAAAACATTACATCACTCCCCTTAATACATAACGCTTTTGTTTACAATTCTTGGCATGAATTATTCATTACTTCTTCCTTTGTTTATGATGACATCTAAAGGTAGTTGTTAGAAACGATTAACCTTGGTGAACATGGTATGTCAATGGTAATAATATGGCTCTGGGCCATATTAAATATCGTGTAGCTATTTATTTTTATTATTAATTTGGACATGATACATAGATGTACAAAGAAATACAGTGGTTAAGTGCACATGCTAAAAGCCCCTTGCATGCAAAGCATTATGGGCAGGCTTAAAATTAACTTAAGAATAACTAAGCAATGATATATTCAGTGGTAAAAATTACAGTAAACAAATAACAATTAAGCACAAATGAGTATTTCAAAGACAGATCATATGGTCATTTGATGAGTTACCGTGCATTCAAGAGAATGGAGTATTCTATTAGGTAATGTAATTAAAAAAACAAAGTAGGTATAGGTATGTAGCCCAGGCAGACTACATACCTACATTATTATTATAACTGATAATTAAGTGATAAGTGTTGACATGTACTTGGCTCTGTGAAGACCTGTTTGCGCGCTCTCTAGAATTGAAGCAAGATGCCCTCCATCGAGCAACTTTACCAACAGCTTAAGGAAGAATTGAGGATGGCGAATATGGAAATTCGGCGACTGACCGAGGAAAACAAAAAGATTCGTAGTAGTCCTCCTGTTTTGAGTCCTCAGGTCAAGAAGGGAAACTGGTCAGTGGCTGGACAGCAGGGAAAGAAGTTGACGATCAAGAAGACGAATGGAAAGGTAGAAACGATGAAGAAGAAAGAGACTGCCGTGGAAACTGTTGTGGAAACATCTAATACATTTCTCAGTGCTACCCGACGAATGTGAGTCGACTACTGGGAATGTCACGACGAACGACACCAAGGAAGGTACGAATATTGTTGTTGTTGGGGATAGCCAAGTAAGGTATATGGATAGGGCGTTCTGCTTGAAGGACAGGAGTACGAGACAGAGAGTTTGCTTTCCTGGGGCTGGGATGGAGGATATTGTTAGCCGTCTGGATGACATCATGAGAGGTAATGGGAGTAATCCTATTATCTGTCTCAGTGCTGGAGGCAACGATGTTGGCAGACGTAGGAGTGAAGACCTGATTAGCAGGTATAGGTCAGCAATAGAAATAATTAGGAGTAGGGTGGGAACCCTCTCATATGTGGTATTTTGCCAAGGAGGGGAGTTGGAAATGAATGGTTGTCCAGGGCAATTGGTGTCAATTGTTGGCTGGACAAATACTGTAAGGAAAATGCGGTAACATTCATTGACAACTGGGACCTCTTCTATGGCAGAAATGACATGTATGCCAGGGATGGGGTTCACTTATCTAGGTGTGGGGTGGGAGCACTGGCAACTGCAGTGGAGGGAGCAGTTAGGACTTTAAACTAGTAGTAGTTAGTGGTATGGGTTTTTGGGAGGAAAACAGTGAAGTCCCAGTGTAGTAATATTACGAGTTCTAGGGGAACTAGTAATAATAAGAACGAGGTAGATATTGAAAAGCCAGGGACCTTGGGTGATAAGGACAGTAATAGGTTTAGTAGAAAAATAGAAATGAGCAGGAAGGGTAAAGAGAAAGGAGAGTCTTTCAATGTTTATTTTTGCTAATTGCCGTAGTGCTAGGAATAAGATGGACGAGTTGAGATTAGTTGCTAGTGCAGGTAACATTGATGTATTTGCCTTAACTGAGACGTGGTTTAATTCAAAAGTCGGGACATGCCTGCGGAATGTCATATTCAGGGTTTTAAATTGTTCCCAAAAAGATAGAAGTATTGGGAAGGGGGGTGGGGTGGCATTGTATGTCCGAGATCGCTTGAACTGTTGCATAAAAACGGGTATTAAGTCTGAAGTAACACATACAGAGTCTGTTTGGACAGAATTTTTCAGAGGGGCATGAAAAATGATTTTAAGAGTGATTATACCATCCCCAAACTTAGATAGGGACCCAAAGGGAAACTACTATGGGAGGAAATTGTTAAGGCCACAAGGCACGATAATGTAGTAATTCTAGGAGACTTTAACTCTAGTCATGTTGATTGAAATTTCTTGACTGGGAATTTAGAATCATACGACTTCTTAGAAGTATTTCAGGATTGTTTTTTGAAGCAGTTTGTGACAGAACCTACAAGGGGAAATAACCTGCTTGACTTAGTTATGGCAAACAACGAATCCCTTGTTAATAATTTAGAAATTTCAGAGGAACTGGGTGCTAGCGGGCCACAAATCAATTACATTTAGCATTGAATGGAAGTACGATAGTAGCGATAACTCAGTAACAGTCCCAGATTTTCGCTTAGCAGATTACGATGGGCTTAGAGAACACTTATTATCTGTTGACTGGGGTAACGAAGAGAGCTATCAATATGACAGTTTTCTGAACACTATACATGCTGCTCAAAGAGCGTTTATCCCATATAAAGAAATTAGATCAAATAGAAATGACCCAAAATGGATGAATAATAGGCTCAAATATCTACTAGGGCATAAGAAAGGAATTTATAGGTGTATCAAAAGAGGTGAGGGTCATCTTATGAATCAGTATATTGACATTAAGAGGGACATTAAAAAGGGGATAAGAAAAGCTAAAAGGGACTATGAAATTAAAGTTGCTAGGGATTCTAAAACTAACCCAAAAAGGTTTTTCCAGGTCTATAGAACAAAAGTTAGAGATAAGAAAGGTCCCCTTAAAAATAACTATGGGCACCTTACTGACAAAGAGAATGAAATGTGCTTGATTTTAAATAATTATTTTCTCTCAGTTTTTACACAGGAAGACACTAACAATATTCCAGTAATTAATTTTTACAGTGGGCTAGAAGAAGATAAATTATGTAACATCACAGTCACTAGTGAGATGGTTGTGAAGCAGATAGACAGACTGAAGCAAAATAAGTCGCCGGGTCCTGATGAGGTTTTTTCAAGGGTTCTTAAGGAATGCAAAATGGAACTCTGTGAACCATTAACTAATATTTTTAATTTATCTCTTCAAACAGGTGTAGTGTCTGATATGTGGAAGATGGCTAATGTAATTCCTATTTTTAAAACAGGGGACAAGTCGTTACCGTCAAATTACTGCCCAATAAGCCTGACCTCAATTGTAGGCAAATTACTAGAGTCAATTATAGCTGAGATTATAAGAAGCCATCTCGATAAGCATAGCTTGATTAATGATACTCAGCATGGATTCACAAGAGGCCGGTCTTGTGACCGATATTTCTTTTAGCTGTAAAACTGTATTTTTTAGGTTAAAAGCATCAAAGAAGTTACTTAGTATACCTGATAGCAGTGGACAATGTTACTGGAGTGAGGAGGAGGTTAACTCCGCTGGCCCACACCTTGCTAAAGTCTTCTGAAATAAGGCGACGTACCTGTAAAATACACACTTGTATTACTACTGTATTCTTATTTTATAATCTTAGATGTCAGTAGAAATATTTGAATTTTGATGATTTTCCTGAGGAAGGGTAAGGCACCCTCCTCCAGTCTGATTTATGGGGTTTTTGCTAAGTCTGCTTCAATTCCTGAGACACTGTACCCCATAACCAATCATTCCTGGTTATATTTTATTTTCCAAGAAATAGACTAAAACTGATTTTTTTTGTGTGATGATGGATTCAAAATGGAGGGCAAGTGTAATATGAGAGGCCTGGGGATGAGATTAATGAACAAAGGAGTGGTTGCTTTAGTAGATGGAATACATAGTGTTTATTTTGGTTTCTGTTTTTTATACTGCAATTAAAGTTTGTGTAAAACTGGCCAAATTACCAATTTCTGTGGACTTGTTTTTTTGTGCTCAATTAAAGAACTGGGATGTTACAAAATGCAGAACACATGTTGGGTTGTAATAAGAAATAAACAAAATATGTGCATCAAGAATAAGCTATCATACCTTTAAAGCTTGTTTAAAATATTTGCTTTTATTCTCCCTTAAGAGAAAATAGTTTCCAGCTAAGATTCGTCCCTTAACAACCTCATTCAATCCTGAAGATCGAGTGAAGGCATACATAGCTTCCATAGAGTGAGATGCCGATACGCGATGCCCATAGCCAACCCCAGTGTATCTTGTAAAATTGGAAGCCACTTCACATGGATTTAAGACTGAGTAGCAGATGATGGAATACTGTGTATGTGGCATTGATACCTCACGAACCTGTAACAAAACAGATAAATAACAAGAGAAATATGTCCCACAGCCTTTTGGTAACTCCACACCTCCTAAATTCCAAACTCTGAATTCTCAGCATAATATTCACACCACACATTGCCCTCAAACATGACACCTCCACTGCCACCTGCTTCTTTCTTGTTGCAACATTCAAACTCATGCTTCACACCCATACAACAGTACTGGTACCACTATACTCTGATACATTCCCCTTTTTTGCTTCCATGGATAAAGTTCCTTGTCTCCACAGATGCTTCAATGTACCATCCACCTTTTTTCCTCTGTCAATTCTATGGCTCAACTTGTCTCTCGTAGAACCAAATGCTGACAAATTCACTCCGAAATACATATCTGAACACATTCACTTCCTCCATACTCTCTCCTTCCATTCTAATATTCAATTATTTTCACTGTAGCTACCACTATATAATGACCCTTATACTCAAAAAATTTCCTTACCCCCTTTCTCAAACCTTTCCTTGGATGATCCCTTCCCCTCCTTCCCTCCACCCAGGATTTACGTATCATCCTCAAGAGCCTCTCCTCAACCTTTATTAATCCCCCACCTTTTAGTCTACATGATCCAAATTATGTGTGTAATATTCACACCAGACATTGCTGTCAAACTATTGTAGTACGTATATTATGTATTTTTTCAACACACTGGCCGCCTCCCACTGAGGCAGGGAGACCACAAAAAAAAAAAAAAAAACACTTTCACCATCATTCACACACAATCACTATCTTCGCAGAGGTGCCCAGATATGACAGTTTAGATGTCACTCCAAAGAGCCAATATCCCAAATCACTCCTTTAACCCTTTGAGGGTCGACAGGCCCTCTCTGAGACTTGTACTCAGGGTCCCCTAAATTTCAAAAAAAAAAAAAAAAAAAAAAAAAAAAAAAAAAAAAAAAAAATAAATATATATATATATATATATATATATATATATATATATATATATATATATATATATATATATTATATATATATGAAAAGATAGAGAATCTTTTCCCGATCATAATGACACCAAAAGTATGAAATTTGATGGAAAACTTATGAAATTATGCTCTTGCGAAGTTAGCAGTCTCGACAATGTTTACGCATCGGCGATTTTGCCCACTTTGAGCCCTATTTTCGGCCAATTCCTCTGTACTAGTTGACAAAAATCATAACTTTCTCTAGAACTCCATTTTTTCTATTGAATGAGCACAAGAAACCACCCATTTACTGATTTCAACTATCCAATACAGTGGTCAGAATTTAGCAATTTTGCCAATTTCACACAAATTTCAAAAGATGCCAATTTCCAAATAGGGTCCAGAATAAACAAGAAAGTCATTCCTGGCACTAACATAACATTTCCTCTGTTCGTTAGTCACATCCCCAGGCCCCTCTTATATTTCTTTGGCTTTCCACTTTCAATTTTTATTCTTACAAAAAATAGAAGATTTACTGTTATGCAGATTACTGCATTAGTGTAGAAATGGTATAAATAATATCAGTGCACTTGTGAAAGAATATTAGACTCACCAGTTGACGTGTATTGGACGTTTGGCATGATTTGTTTACTGTACTTTTGAACTTTGGTAAAAATCGAACATTTCTGCTTCTTTGAGCTCAATTTCAAGGTACTTTTCATTGTAAAACCAGTCAAAATCATCTCAATTTCTGTAATATGTCTTCCATTCTATAAAATGAGACCAGGAAAACTAGAATACAATAACAAATACCATATGCAAATACAGTGTAAAGTCGCTGTTTTATTCCAAAAACACGGTCAAAGTTTTTTTTTTCTCATTATGCACTGTGTGCTGCAGGATATTTTTTATACTGTGCACACTGACCACATAGACCCATTCTTTCATATGTATGCCTACCAACTTTCTCGCACTAGATTTGAGGGCGCTAGAATTTAGGCGTACTAGTATGCCAAAAACCCTGGTTTGTAAGCCGTACTAGTACGGCCGAAACCCTCAAAGGGTTAAAGTGCAGGCAGTGAACTAGAATATTATTATAATCAAAAAGAAGCGCTAAGCCACAAGGGCTATACAGCGCTGCAGGGAAGGGAAGGAAGCGAGGGTATCGGGTAGCAGAAGGGGGGAGGGATGATTAGTAGGTTACAGAAAACAGCAGGGCAGGGGATAGTGCTGGGGTATGGGGTAGCAAGAGACTGAGGTAGAAAGGGCTGAAGGTATCATCAGAGTTTGTGGAGTAAGTCAGTTGTTGTCAAAAAGTCAATGAGAGAGTCCGGATGAAAGGTGGGTCCATCAGCAAGAAGGGAAGGTAAAGAGAGAGTAGTAGAGCAGAGACGACGTTGGAGGTAAATTCTGCGTGCTCGTTGATAAATTGGGCAGTCTAACAGAATGTGGCTGACTGATAATGGAGCCTGACAATGCTCACAGAGAGGAGCGGGGCGCCTCTCCATGAGATGTCCATGAGTAAGACGAGTATGGCCAATGCGAAGGAGGGAGAGAGTAGTTTCCCAACCTTGATACTGGTGACAAGAAGACGGCCAGTAACCTATACTCGGTATAATAGAACAAAGTTTGTTATTGAGCAGAGCAGACCAACGTTGTTGCCAACAGGTGCGAAGGTGGGTAGCTATTACAGCAAAATAGTCTGGAAATGGAACACCTCTATATGAAATTGGTAGGTCATGTACTGCTGACAGTGCAGCAGTGTCTGCCTGTTCATTGCCCTGTACATCAACATGACCAGGGACCCAACAAAAAACAATATCTTTATGTATGGTAGAGATACGGCGTAGCCAAAGTTGGATACGGAGAACTAGGGGGTGAGGTGTATCAAATTTCCGTATAGCCTGTAGAGCACTGAGGGAGTCTGAGACAACCACAAATGATGACACAGGCATAGATGCGATACGAATAAGTGCTGCAAGAATGGCATACAATTCAGCAGTAAAAATACTAGCCGAAGATAGTAAATGCCCTCGCACAATGCTGTCCGGAAACACTGCTGCGAGCCCAACGCCGTCAGAAGATTTAGAGTCATCTGTGTACACGGCGATGGCATGAGAATGAGAGTGGAAGTGGTCAAGAAAAAGAGAGCGGGAAGCCACCGTAGGCAGTTGGGGTTTCGAGCAGGGGAATGAGAAAGAACAGACCCGAACAGCTGGAACTTCCCAGGGAGGGGTAGGGAAAAGTGAGATGCTACATGAACATATAAAGGCGATAACTGAAGGGAAGACAAGAGCGAATGTATGCGAAGAGAGAAGGGACGGAGCAAACAGGGGCGGCAAACAAATAAAGAATGTCTACTTATATCAGTGACCATTCTATAAATGGAAGGACTGCGGAGATTGTGAGAGCGCACATAGTAGCGAAGGCAATGGGCATCACGGCGATCAGACAAGGATGGAAAATTCACTTCTGCATAGAGGCTCTCAACAGGGAAAGAGCAAAAAGCACCAAGACATAAACGTAATCCTTGGTGATGGGTGGGGTTAAGGCTAGAGAGTAGCAGGAAAGGCCGCTGAATAGATCTGGTCACCATAATCAAGTTTTGATAAAATGAGGGCTGAATGTAGGCGAAGGAGAGTTCGACAATCAGCTCCCCATGAAAGATCAGCAAGGGTCTTAAGAAGGTTCAGCCGGCTGTGACAAGTTGCCTTTAGAGAGGCAATGTGGGGTTTCCAGGATAACCTACTGTCAAAGAGAAGGCCTAGAAACCTGACTGCATCAAGTTCAGGGATACGGGAGCCATAGAGGTACAAAGGATAATCGGAGATGACAGAGCATCTAGTGAAAGTAATTTGGTGAGTTTTGGTACTGGAAAATTTAAACCCATGCGTGGTGGCCCAATTGGAAACACTGTCGACCGCATGTTGGAGAGAAACTGTAATGAGGTGACAGTCAGCGCCTGCACAAGCAATAGCGAAGTCATCTACATAGAGTGATGACCAAATATTGGATGGAAGAACAGAGGCCAAATCATTTATAGCAAGGAGAAAGAGTGTTGTGCTCAGAACACATCCCTGAGGGACACCTTCAGCTTGGATAAAGTCCGGGGAGAGCAAATTATTGACTCGAACACGGAAATGTCTGTCAGTTAAAAAGTTCTTAAGGAAAGATGGTAGATTGCCTTGGAGGCCTAAGGAGTGGGCTTGGGCCAAAATATTATACCTCCAAGTTGTGTCATATGCCTTCTCAAGGTCAAAAAATATGGCAATAACTGAGTGTTTATTTGCAAAGGCATTACGAACATACATATCCAAGCGTAGTAAGGGGTCTATGGTAGAACGGCCCTTACGAAAGCCATATCGACGAGTGGAGAGACTGTTGGGTGTCTAAATACCACATTAAACATCTATTTATCAAACGTTCCATCACTTTGCAAATTGCACTGGTAAGAGCGATGGGACGATAGTGGGAGGCTTCATGTCCCGTAGTACCCGGTTTGCGGAAAGGGAGAACAATGGCAGATTTCCACAGCTGTGGAAGAACTCCTTGTGACCAAATAAGACTGAAAAGGCATAAGAGGACTGCAAGGGCTGACTGATGTAAATGTTGTAACATACGAATATGAATGTCGTCGGGCCCAGCTGTCAATGATCGGCAAGCTGAGAGTGTTGCCTCCAGTTCCTGAAGTGTAAAAGGCACATTATACTGTTCTTCTCTGAGAGAAGAAAAGTCCAAGGGTGCTAACTCTCTGGCAGACTTAGAGGAAAGAAACGAGGGGCAAAGATGGAGCCCCAGAGAAATACGGACCAGATGATTGCCAATTTCAATGGCAACATCTAGAGGGTTTGCTATATCAACACTAGCAACCTGCAGAACAGGAGCCGGATCAGGAGAATATTTACCACTCAGTTTCCATACTTTTTTCCAGACTGCACTCATAGAGGAAGCAGAGGTGATGGTGGAGACATAATCTCGCCAGCAAGTGTGTTTAGCGTCACGGATGACACAGCGAGCAATCGCACGCTTCTGCTTAAAATCAAGAAGTCTCTCAGTGGTTCTATT